CCTGTGTCCTGTCCCTCCATCCCTTGTCCCCAGTCCCTCTCCAGCTCTCCTGGAGCCCCTTCAGGTCCTGCAAGGGACTCTCAGCTGTCCTTGGAGCTTTCCCTTCTCCAGGCTGAACAATCCCAGCTTTCCCAGCCTTTGCTCCCAGCAGAGCTGCTCCATCCCTCTGCTCATCCAGGTGCCCCCTCTGGACTCTCTCCAACAGCTCCACATCCTTCCTGCTCCAGAGCAGGACCCGGAATTCCTCCCCAGCCCCAACTCCTTCCCTTGGGCAGGACGGGAAATCCATTCCCCATGGAACTGCCACGTTGTCCAGCAGCAGTGGGGTCTTTCCCAGTAGGAAATGCCTCTTTCCCATCTCCACATGCCCACCAATCCCAGATAAAAGCCCTCGAGGAAGCCCCGAATTGGAAGTGAAGCGATACCTACAGGAGGCGGGGCCCCGGCAGGAGGGAGGGTAATTAGTGCAGAGCTGGTCACGCCCTCGGCAAGCTACAAATCAAAAGGATCCATTAGCCATGGAATTAGAGGGATAAGGGGGAGCACACATCGGCAAAAGCACCACTGGGGAGAAATCAAAGCAATTAATCCAAGGAAATCCGCCCTGGGGACGAGGGTGAGGCCTCCCGGGACGAGGCAGCCTCGGCAGGGTTTGGGGTTTTAGGGATGTTCAGCAAACTGGACGCGGTTACAGGGAATGGATGGGATGTCAGAGGGGGAAATGTGGGATGGAAAAGCTGTTAATGCTTTCCAGCGGAGCAGGGAATCTCCCTGGCCACAACGGGGCACGTTCATCCTGGGAGCCTGGGAGGGGTTTAATGGGATCAGCAAAGCTCAGGACCAAGGCCCAGCTCCAAGCTCAGCCTGTCCTGGGTGGCCCAAGAGCTGCCATCCCTGCCCTGGGCACCAAGCTCTGCTCCTGCTTCCCAAGGGTCGGTCCCTTGGAGGTGGGAGAGGGGGACAAACGAGATGTTCTTCCCAGAAAACATCAGCCCCATCCTACCAGCATTCCCTGAGCTCCTCCCCCAACACACTGCTCTGAGCCCCACCCCGGACCTGAAACAAGCTGAAAACACCCCATTCCCAGCTGCTCCACGGGGAAAACATTCCCCGAGGCTCAGCTCCAACCAGGACACCCCCCCAGCTCCGGGAGGCTGCTGGGAACGGCCCCTCCATGATTTATCCACGAGCAGAAGGACAAACCCCTGCTCATCCCTTGGGGCTGCACGTGGACACCAGGGATGTCCTTCCCGAGCTGCTTCCCAGGGGAATGGCCCCGTGGAGAACAGGGAATGCAGAGCAGGCAGGACTTCAGCCCTTCCAAAACCCCGCTCCGGGTCCATCTCCCAAACTAGAAGGGATCAGCCTGGAAAAGCAGCTTTTCCGTGGGTTGGAGGAGGTTTTTCCGTCCCTCCGGATGACCACGGTGTGGTTCACGTGCACATCAAGTGCTCTGAACTCCAGCTGAACTCCTCTTCCCCCCTGGATGGGATGGCCAACACTCCCCAGCCCTGGAGCAGGGGGGATTCACCTCTGCTTGTTTTCCCCGTTCCCGAGGAGGACAACAGAGGGATCCTTTGTTCCCAACATCCATCGGAGCAGGGACCAAGGCCAGGCCTGGCAAGGAGGGAGAAGAGCTCTGGAGCCACCCACTGAAGCACAGCCCTGCACAATCCTGGCTCCTGCTTCCAAGGTCACGGCTGGGAGAGCCCTGGGAATGGGCTCCTGGCCGGGGATCCGTCCCTCTTTCCCAGGGAGAAGGAGCAGGATGGTCTCTGCAGGCTGGGGGTGCTCCTTGACCCCCCGGATCTGCCCCCAAACGGGAGCAGGGCGGGGTGAGAGGACCCTGATGATCCACCCACGTCCCAACCCTGGCCCCCTCCAGGGCAGGAACAGCTTCCAGCGCCAGGATTCAGGGGTCAGGGAGGGAGAAGGTGGGAATTTCGGTTTGGCTTTCCAGGAACAAGCTCCCTCCTCTCCCAAAACAAAAAGGGAAAGACAAACAAACAAACAAACAAAGGAGGACAAACGTGGGGGCAAAGGGAACAACTCAGCTCAGGGCAGGGGTTGTTTGGGAAGTGTTTGTTCCCATAAAAAATCATCCAAATCTTCCCCTCTGGAAGGGCTGGAGCGGAGGGGTTTGGCTTTGCCACGTCCCTCTCCCCCTTTTCCCCCCCCCGTTTCAACTGTTCCCTGAATTTGATGTGAGTTGGGAGATGTTTTTCCATCGGCTTTAAACCACCCCAAGGAACAACGTATGGATTGCAAACCTCTCTCCTGTCCCTTCCCCTGGGATCTCTGCAGCTCCTGTGCTGATTCCCTGCTCCTGGGAGCAGCCCCTGGAGCTCCAAACGCTGGGAGCATCCATACAGAGGGGGGGTTGTGTCCCTATCCAGGGGTTTCATCCCCCAAAAGCTGATGGGAGATGTGTGTTGGTCACATCCCCATGAAATCCCTGCGAGGTTTTGGGTGGGAGAGCCCCGGAGATCCCAGGGATTCCCAGAGGGAAGGGCTGAGCTGCTCCAGCTCTCCCAGCTCCAGGAGCGTCACAGGAAAGGTGCACACGACTACTGTTGTCCTGGAGGATTTTTGGGAAGAAAGCCCTGCCTGTGGGTCCCAGAATCATGGAATCAGGGAATGGGTTGGGTTGGGAAAGACCTTAGAGACCATCCAATCCCACCCCTGCCATGGGCAGGGACACCTTCCACTAGCCCAGGTTGCTCCAAGCCCTGTCCAGCCTGGCCTTGGACACTCCCAGGGATGGGAATGTGGAGTGGGAGCACCAGCCTGGGGGTGGGATAAGTGGCCAGGACAGGGCCAGTCCAGGCTGGAGTCCCACAGCCACGGGATTTGCTGGGAACTGGCCAAAATCTTCATTCCCAGCCTGATTTGGGATCCCAGGCCGAGCCCACCTTGGGACACACCCACAGGGATCCAATGGCTCCACAGAATCCTTGGGAATAGAAACGCTGGGGAACCACCAAGGGGATGGACAAGGAGCAGGATTGATGCCCAAGTGCCACATCTTCCTGCCCACCCCTGGAAGTGCCCAAGGCCAGGAAAGGAGAGGCAGGAGACACCCGAGGGGCAGATCCTTCCCCAGAGCTCAGGCTCTTCCAGCCCGAGGTTCCCTGCGGCACCTCCAGCCTTTGGAACGGGGGGGGAAAGGCAATTCCAGCACGTGCCCAGGACACCAAAGGGACAGGAGACCGTGGGAAGCTGCACCAAACGTTCCTGGCACCACTCCCAGCTGCTCCTGGGCCACCAGGATCACCTGTGGATCACCCATGGATCAGCCATGGATCTGCCCAGCCCGGCACAGGCAGGGTTGTCCCAGAGGGGACACCCCTGCTGGGGCAGGAACACAGGGATTACGGGAATGGGAAGCTCCAGGGAGCAGACCAGCAGCTCCAGGGGCATGTCCAGCCTGATCCACCCACGAGGGACAGCTGAGATCCCTCAAACTCACAGCACAGGGAGCTTGGAGCATTCCTCTCCTTCCCTGCTCAAGCTGTGCAGCTCCACAGAGCCTGGATTGCGGATCCTGCAATCCCTCTGCAGAGGGACTGGAGCTGCTGGAAGCAGCAACGGGGTTTGGAAGTAGCAAAGGAACCTTCAAAGAGGAAAACTGGGAAAAGGAGACCTGGCGTGGGGTGAGGATGATGGAACCTCGGGGAATCTTTGCTTCCAGCCTGGCCTTGGGAAAACTGTCCCATCTCCCAGCTCCAGTTCACCTCCCAGTGCTGGGATAAATCCCTCCAAGGGATTATTTATCCCTCCAATCCCTTCTTTGGGACAGGGCCTGTCCTTCCCAAGGGGTGACTCCAGACCTTGTCCAGCCTCAAACCAAACCCCACAGTGAGGAGGAGACGCTGAAGGAAGAGCTCAGTGTGGAGAGAGTCCTTTGTCCTCTCCCAGAAGAGCCAACCCAGCCCCTCACACGGAAAGCAGGGAAGGAGGATGAGTTTGGGGATGTGCAGGTGGAGGGGGGGGTGAGAACACGGGTGGAAGCTCCAAAGGGAGGGAGAACCAGCCAAGGCCTCCCAGGGCACCACTTCAGCCCTCCAGCCTCCCAGGGTCCCCCAGAGCACCCAGAGGATCCCGCTGTCCCCCCTGCTGTGTTTTCCATACCTGGACAGGGAGCAGGGGCTCCTTGTCGTCGATGTCGATGAGGACGTCGTCCCCGGGCGTGAGGCTCACGTCGTCTGCAGGGAGGGTACGGCATGGCAGGGCAGCCAGGGGCACCCAGAGCCTTGGGGTGACACCCTGCACCCCACCCAGAGCCCTCACACCACCCACGGCTCGTGTCACTGATCCCAACCTCATCCAGAGCCCTCACACCACCCAAAAATTCATCTTCATGATCCCAACCCCATCCAGAGCCCTCACAGCCCCCACGGCTCGTGTCCATGATCCCAACCACATCCAGACTCTTCACAGCCCCCACAGCTCCTGTCCCTGATCCCAACCTCATCCAGAGCCCTAACAGCCCCCACAGCTCATGTCTCTGATCCCAACCTCATCCAGAGCCCTCACACCACCCAAAAATTCATCTTCATGATCTCAACCTCATGCAGACCCTTCACACCACCCATGGCTCCTGTCCATGATCCCAACCCCATCCAGAGCCCTCACACCACCCATAGCTCATGTCCCTGGTCCCAACCACATCTTCACAATCCCAACCTTGTCCGGGCCCTCCACAGAACCCAAAAACTCATCCTCATGATCCCAACCTCTCCCAGACCCTTCACACCACCCACAGCTCATGCCCATAATCCCAACATTGCCCAGTCAGAAAACTCAAAGCAGAGACACCTTGGGATCAACATCCATCAACCTCATCCAGACCCTTCACTCCGCCCAAAAATTCATCTTTGTGATCCCAACCTCTCCCAGAGCCCTCACACCACCCACGGCTCATGTCCCTGATCCCAACCCCATCCAGACCCTTCACAGCCCCCACAGCTCATGTCCCTGATCCCAACCCCATCCAGAGCCCTCACACCACCCAAAAATTCATCTTCATGATCCCAACTTCTCCCAGACCCTTCACACCACCCACAGCTCATGTCCATGATCCCAACCTCATCCAGACCCTTCACTCCACCCAAAAATTCATCTTCATGATCCCAACCTCTCCCAGACCCTTCACTCCACCCAAAAATTCATCTTCATGATCCCAACNGGCTCATGTCCATGATCCCAACCTCATCCAGAGCCCTCACACCACCCATGGCTCATGTCCATGATCCCAACCTCATCCAGACCCTTCACAGCCCCCACAGCTCCTGTCCCTGATCCCAACCCCATCCAGAGCCCTCACAGCCCCCACAGCTCATATCCATGATCCCAACCTCATCCAGAACCCTCACAGCACCCACAGCTCCTGTCCCTGATCCCAACCTCATCCAGAGCCCTCACATCACCCAAAAATTCATCTTCATGATCCCAACCTCCCCCAGACCCTTCACACCTCCCACATCTTATGTCCCTGATCCCAACATTGCCCAGTCAGAAATCCCAAAGCAGAGACACCTTGGGATCAACATCCATCAACCTCATCCAGACCCTTCACTCCGCCCAAAAATTCATCTTCGTGATCCCAACCTCTCCCAGACCCTTCACACCACCCACAGCTCATGTCCCTGATCCCAACCCCATCCAGAGCCCTCACACCACCCAAAAATTCATCTTTGTGATCCCAACTTCTCCCAGACCCTTCACACCACCCATAGCTCATGTCCCTGGTCCCAACCACATCCAGAGCCCACACACCACCCAAAAATTCATCTTCATGATCCCAACCTCTCCCAGAGCCCTCACACCACCCACAGCTCCTGTCCCTGATCCCAGCCCCATCCAGAGCCCTCACAGCCCCCACAGCTCCTGTCCCTGATCCCAACCCCATCCAGAGCCCACACATCACCCAAAAATTCATCTTCATGATCCCAACTTCTCCCAGACCCTTCACACCACCCACAGCTCATATCCATGATCCCAACCCCATCCAGACCCTTCACTCCACCCAAAAATTCATCTTCATGATCCCAACCTCTCCCAGAGCCCTCACACCACCCACGGCTCATGTCCCTGATCCCAACCTCATCCAGACCCTTCACAGCCCCCACAGCTCATGTCCATGATCCCAACCTCATCCAGACCCTTCACAGCCCCCACAGCTCCTGTCCCTGATCCCAACCTCATCCAGACCCTTCACAGCCCCCACAGCTCATATCCATGATCCCAACCTCATCCAGAGCCCTCACACCACCCACAGCTCGTGTCGCTGATCCCAACCACATCCAGAGCCTTCACAGCCCCCACAGCTCCTGTCCCTGATCCCAACCCCATCCAGAGCCCTCACACCACCCAAAAATTCATCTTCATGATCCCAACCCCATCCAGAGCCCTCACACCACCCAAAGTTCATCTTCCTGCAGGTTGACCAGCCTGGCCCAAGGACAGCCCATCCCACCAGCCAGTCCCAGAGCTAATCTCATCCTTGGCACCTCCTGGGGTTTTTGGACCAGGACTAGAGCTGGGCTGAGCTCAAAGCCACGTGGGGAGTGACCCACGGCTCCTCCTGGAGAAGGGAGGGCTCCAGGAAGGCTCGGACAAGGACATGGAGTGACAGGACAAGAGGGAATGGATTGAGCTGAGGGAGGGCAGGGTTAGGTGGGATGTTGGGAAGGAATTCCTCCCTGTGAGGGTTGGGAGGGGCTGGGATGGAATTCCCAGAGAAGCCGTGGCTGCCCCTGGATCCCTGGAAGTGTCCAAGGCCAGGCTGGAGCACCCTGGGCTGGTGGGAGGTGTCCCTGGGCGGGACTGGACGATCCTTCGGGTCCCTCCCCACCCGCCCCATTCCCTGCTCCATGAGGATCCCATGCCAGCCCATCCCGTACCTCCGTGCCCGGGGGGCCGGGCGGTGTCCTGGCCGGAGGGATCCCATCGGAAGGGCTCCAGGGAGCGCACGGAGCACTGTCCCACCACGGGCCGGCGCCCGAAGGGACGGTTGTCCAGGACCTTGATGACGATGGGGGGGCTGTAGAGGCTCTCCTTGGGCAGGCGCTGCGGGAACGGGGGGGTCAGGACACGGGGCAGGGGGGCAGAGCTGCTGCCCCACCCCACAGAGAACGGGGGCAGAACCAACTGCACCACAGGGGGCTTTGTTATGGGGCTCCAGGGCCCTTCACCAGAAAATCCACTGTTATGGGACTCTGAGGTTCTCCACCATAAGATTCATTTTTGTGGGACTCCAGGTCCTTCACTAAAAGATTAATTTTAATGGTGCCCCCAGGCCTTTCACCATAAGGTGCATTTTTATGGGACTTTAAGGTCATTCACCATAAAATCCACTTTATGGGACTCTGAGGTTCTCCACCATAAGATTCATTTTTGT